CACTAGGATTGGACTTCCACTTCTTAAAAGATACCTTTTTGTCCCTCACTGCTTCTTTTACATGGTGGTTAAGCCACGGTGACTCTTTTTTAGGTCTCTTGCTATGTTTTTTAATTTGGGGTATACATTTAAGTTGGGCCTCTATTATGGTGTCTTTAAAAAGTTTCCATGCAGCTTTCAGGGATTTGGCTCTAGTCACTGTGCCTTTTAATTTCTGTTTAACTAACCTCCTCATTTTTGTGTAATTCCCCTTTTTGAAATTAAATGCCAGGGTGCTGGACTGCTGAGGTGTTCTTCCCACCACAGGAATGTTGAATGTTATTATATTATGGTCACTATTCCCAAGCGGTCCTGTAACGGTTATATCCTGGACCCGATCCTGCACTCCACTCAGGACTAAATCGAGAATTGCCTCTCCCCTAGTGGGTTCCTGCACTAGCTGCTCCAAGAAACAGTCATTTAAGCCATTGAGAAATTTTATCTCCGCTTCTCTTCCTGTTCCATTTATTCCCACTGAAGCACGTGGCATTACCCATTCTCAGAAGACAGCTTACTGGGCTATATGGTCCTTTGGTGAGACCCATTATAGCTGTTCTTTTAGTGTTTACCAATGGGATCGAGTTACTGGTTTAATTAAATAAAACTTATGATGGCAAATGTCAGCTCCAACAGGAGTGGGGAGTTGCTGTATTTGAGAACTGGAAAGATAGGAATGAACAAAGTTTCTTTCAACACTGAAAAGTCTTGGTGAGAAAAGTGTTGCTTGATGGAATTCCTGCATGCTGATGTTACATGTAACCCTCTTGTTCCCCCAGAGGACAAGCCGCAACACAAAATGAAAGTTAGCCAATAAATGACAATATTTTCCATTCAATTGCAGGTATTTTTATTTAACATCCATTAAGGATGTATTCTTCCCAGAGATGGAATAATGGATGCAAGCCAACGTGTACCACACTCAGGATGTTCTACTACATATGTCGAGTACAACTTCTTATGCATTTAAAATTAAAAAATGATTCAAGGTTTAGGTAACAACTGGCTGGTAATAAGCTGATATTATGTTTTGTTTTGTAATGCCAAACAAAAGAATTAATGCTGCAAAAAGAAAACAGATGGTATCTCACCTTCAAAAGCTATTTGATAAGCAACAGTCTAACAAGCAGTACTTTTATCTGACCACAAACGAAGAAGTCTGTGCAGTAGCACATCTAGTGGGAAGAAACATTTTTATACTTCTCCAATAATGTTTCAGTTCTCCATATTTACACATTTACGTTATTGCAGTTAAAGTGAATCCAGAATTGGACAAGTTATGCCAGCTTAAGAGTACTCTATAGAAAGCCATGAAGTTAAAAGATAAAGGACTTAGCAAGACTAGAGTCTTGTAAGGGGGACAGAACATAGCTGTTTTATTATTAAATAAGCTTTTCCACAAGGGACACCCAACCCATGCTTATTATAGTCACCTTTTTTCCCAGCTCAGTACTGAACAATTGTTTTCAAATATTGTTGTCACTGATACAGTCCTGCTCCCAAGGGACTGTCACTAGAAACAGGAATTTCAAAGGAAATTGACTTACATGTTCAACACACACACACACACACATGTTCAATGGGACCTGAGTGCCTAACTTTTAGCCTCTTTTGAAAATTCCAGAGGAAAAAAAACTTCGTGTACACACAGCAAGGGCCGTGGGATTACCACTTCCAGGATGCTTTGTCCAACAGACACTCACATCTACCAGCAATCTAGCAAGGAAAGTTTAACAGGTCCATTCATTTTGACCAGTACAACCATTCTGAGATTACAAGACAAGGTAAATCTGTTCCTCTATTTTAATATTTATTTAACTGCATCTTATGTAGCTTTTTTCCTAATATACCCCACTAGCTCAAATACAGCAGCAACAGCGAGCTCTAGCAGAGGGGGCTCTCAGCAGGTCTAGCCAACGCAATGATTAAGAGCAGGAGTGGGGAACCTTTTTTGGGTCAGGGACCACTGCCCCAGGGAAAAATCAGTTGAGGGCCACACACAAGTGAGAAGCCAAAAAAACCACTAAACCCTCACAGGCATGGCTCCTGACTGAGAAGAAAAACACCCCTCACATTCCCCTCACACGCCAGAACCTAGTGGGGCGCAGGCTAGCAGATTTTGTGTGCTCCAGTCCCACAGTAGGTGCGGGCTCCCCAATGCTAGGAGGGGAGCCCTGAGCCATGGAGGCCAGATCCAGGCAAGCCAGGGGCCACATCCAGCCCCTGGGCCTCAAGTTCCCCACCCCTGTTTAAGAGGCTGGCAGTCACCAGCAAACACTGTATTTAGTAATGCTTCCACTATTGCTAACCAGTGAGGAGACAAAATACATGGAGTGATGGTGGGAGTTCTAGGGAGGGAAATCCTAGAGCAGACAAGGCCTAAAACTCATTGCCAGGCATCCATGATTTATCACACTGAATGCTATCCAACATCCAATAGCCACCAACACAAAGTGCATATCAATAGTCGTTCACAAGTCCATGACAGTAAACTTCTGCTATTCTGGGCAAGTCAAACCCTTCAGCTGACATTTAAATAGCCTTGTCTCACAGCACTCAGAAGGCACACAACCATCAGCGTATCAGTGACACGGCCTAAACACGATGAATAACCAAATCAACGGAGAACAGGTTTTAATGGCTGCTATTTTGAATATTCCAGTTTGGTACCCACACACTGGACAAATGAGGCACCATTTGGAGAGCTGTGGTTCAGTACTTAGTAATCTCACTCAAAACTATCATGTGTTTAAACTGCTCGGCAGTGAGATGAGGCATTGGAAGGAAGAAAGAAAAGATATCTTGTAGTATCTGTGATGGTCTCCCGCAGAGGTACTGTACTTTATGGAAATCTTATGTAACAGTACCAATAGGAAATGTACATTTAAACTGGTTAATAATTCGTACGTATACTCGCCAAAACTTGATCAGTTCTTATCTATCATGCTGAACGTGTGAAAATCTGGCAAGGAAGTTATTCTACCTGCTTTTAAATAGTTAAGAGTTACACTATTCATTCGTTGACTATCTAGATTCTTGCAAAAGGAATAACTTGTCAAGTATTTATTCTAGAATGGGAAACAAGGGAAGCAATATATTCAGTCCTCTTTGATAAAGAGGATCAGTCACAAAGACAGAAATAGGGCATGCATGAAGATGAAAGACATTAATATTGGCAAAGATCTTTGATTCTACTACCCAATAGTATCATACCCAGTATCTTAGTATGCCTGACTGTCCTCAAGAAAATTTCTCCAAATGAAATCTCCACAGAATTATTCATCCAGAGTCTACTCCAGTTTTGAGTAGAATCATAGCTCAAAGCAAGAACTAGGGATGTTAAATTGTGATTAATCAGCTAATCGAGCAGTCGATGGAATTGCCATCAACTATGTGATTAGTCGATAAGGGGGGCGCTCACTACCCCCCGCTGCAGCTCTGCAGTTTTAATGTAATAGGAGCTGGGCATGCAGCAGTCCAGCTCCTACTACATTTAAACTGCAGAGCCACAGTGGAGCGAGCTCCTGGGAGCAGTGAGAGCCAGGACTAAACAGTCCCAGTTCGCACCAGCCCCAGAAGCTAACCCCACTGCGGCTCTGCCTTTTAGATGTAGTAAGAGCTGCCGGGAAGTCCCCGCTCATGGCGAGTCCCGTGCCTTGCCTCTCCCTTTTACATATAGTAAGAGCCCACAGCGCCTCTGTGTCCCCTGCCCCCAGCACCACAAAAACAGTGCGGGGGAGGTGAGGGGGAGAGAGAACTGGATTTTGAGTTGGCTCCGCTGGCACCCCCGTCCTTGCTGCCTCTGATAAAGTGGCAGCAAGGGGGGGGAAACATGAGTAGTCGACTCCTAGGCTTATTAAGTAGTCAACTATTTGACTACTCTTTCATATCCCTAGCATGAACTACAAGAAGTTAATATACATATCATCACCTTCACAACAAACATGCACATAAACATTTGTAAATAGTTTTTCATATTTAACAAAAACTGTCTCTTTCATAAAATCCTACAAGCTGCTCAGAACTTATTTTTTGGGGTGGGGGGCACTTAGTCCTTGAAAACAGCTACATCTTCCTAGGCCACCAAACCAATACCAAATCACCTTTAAACTACATTATGTAGTTTAAGACTGAGTAGTTTTTCCTGGTATGTGGTTCTATGGAATACTGCCTAATACTGTGGAGCATCAGTGTGTAATATCCAAATCTAAAGCTATTTGGAAAGTTGAATGTCTGTTGGAAAGCAACACTGCATTTTGGCCTGAGAGCAGCCGTGATAAAAAACATGCAACACAAATGAGTTTTACAACCGAATTATTTGTTCTAGCAATCAATGTCTACATTTGTTTCTTAATCCCTTCCACAGTTGATAACTGTGATGCTATGTTCTATCTTACCAACCTGTGGCAGCATTATCGCACTAAACTCTCATTGAGTTACTAATATTCTGTCAAAAAGATAATTAAGAAAGTTGTTCATATAAAAGTTTCCAATACCAAGTTTACTTGTGCCAAGACTCCAAGGACTTCCTGATCAGTTACCACGTAACAACAACTGATAAAAGAATTCTAACTTCTGAAATAAACCAGTTCTGGACTAATAATTACACACTTTCCATCTAACTCAAATAATATAGTAGAATATATCAGGTGGTGACATTCAAGTGCTTTCAGTTTCTACCTTAAATAAGCCTATATATTAACGTTTCTGAAAATGTGGTTAGACATAAGCTAAACTGAATGACTAACGAAAAAGCTTAATTATGCTTGAACTTGATTTTCTTATGCTTCAATCTTACCCTAGAAAATAGTCACTTACTTCATTAAGACATCAGACAGGAATTCCTTTAACTTACAAATCACAGGCTGTAAATAACCAAGGCTAGCTCCCCCAACACTAACATGATATCAACAACAAAAATTTCCCATATGCCAGATCTTTCTCCTCCCTTTTAATTTTCTTACCCCACTGCCTGCTTCCTTGAATGCTCTCCCTTTTGGCTTAGCCTGGACAAGAATCTTCTTCCTCATTTTTCATTACTGCTTGCACTTTCCCACTGACAACATCCCCTTTTCAGCAACAGAGGCACCTTTTATTTTGATGTGGGGTCGAGATGAGAAAAAGCCTCAGGCTTATACACAGCCCACAGAGGGGCAGAAGACCCGAATCACCCCCACCACAAGAGACAAAACAAGATAGTTTCTCCACTAGATTCTTGTTCCCTTGTGGGCAGCCCTGGTCTCAAGTGGAGATAGACATCATACTCCCCCCAAAGCCTACAGAGGGACGCAGCCCCCACAAAGAGATAGGAGAAGGGAGCTGCCACCCACCCCCAAAATCCTATGGGGGTCCCACAGTGAAAGGAGAGGAAAGGCCACCTGCCCCGCAGAACCTAGAAGGCAAAGGTCTGGGGTTAGATCTAAGGAAGCCCTTGGCTCTCTATGGGGCAGGGCACTGTACTTCAGACTGCTCCCAAGGTACCTCCCTCCCCCGCAGCTCCTATTGTGAGAATTTTGCCCCCTACCCACTCCCCTCCTCGCAACTCCCGGTCCCACAGTGAAAGGAGAGGAAAGGCCACCTGCCCCGCAGAACCTAGAAGGCAAAGGTCTGGGGTTAGATCTAAGGAAGCCCTTGGCTCTCTATGGGGCAGGGCACTGTACTTCAGACTGCTCCCAAGGTACCTCCCTCCCCCGCAGCTCCTATTGTGAGAATTTTGCCCCCTACCCACTCCCCTCCTCGCAACTCCCACCTGGTCCTACATTGCCCTCCTCAGCCCCCCTCCCCCATCAACCCCCAAGTCCCCCACCAACC